ACAAACCGTCAATGTTACTGCAAGCAAATTTGGTCCCTTTGACTTGGCTTCACTTCAATCTGAAAAATTTTGGATAAGTTTTTCCAGTTCCGGAAGGGATATTTTTTATACCTACTTTACTTATTTTGCAGTTCCTTCATATTATTATCAACATTAAAGTGTAGTTTGGTTCTCTCTTTCATAATAGCATAGGAAATTCCTTCCATATGATACTACTCCCAATTTCCCCAAAACTAATGGCCATTTCTCTTAATAAAACTAACTTAAATGACGATACTAACTAAAAGGCTTTTACAGCATTCAATAAACTGAATGAATCAAAATAGTGTTGCTAAATATACGCTAAAGTACCAGGTCAAATTTCATTATGAACATTGCATGGTCATTGGCGACTACTGTAGATTGGAAGTAGCATCGGAAAACAGTCCAAGTTACGCACAAATTATACGTCTTGAGTGTGATTATAAGGATTCAGTATTTGAACGAGACGTAGCTGATTTGTGTTAGTTATAAGTATTACCATGAGATTTGGTTCATACTCTCGAATTTCTAGATCCAGGCATTTAAAAAAATACTGATGCGTTCGAAGGCATATTTTAGTAATTGTACTCAAAAAATCTCATCTGAGCGCAAAGCCGAACGCGGCGATATGGTTTCACAAAACCCTACACCTGTTTAGCCAATGTATTGGCCTTAATTTCTTTGATTTTCCTTATTAGAGGCATATTCAGGCAGAATATATTTTGCCTGATGTTCTTTTTTGTGCAGTTAATTCGAATATTATATTTCTGAGTACAATTTTAGCAAGATATATTGCTAAAAATGTAAAAATTTAAGTTGTTGGCAGGGTAAACAAACTGGTGAAAAGAGTTCGATCCTTTAAAAGTCCGGAAAAGTCCAACAGCCTACTTTCAACAAATTATATCTGTCAAAAGTTCTGATGCTGATTTTCAGCGGTGCTTCCTTCTTTTTCCTTTTGACGCATGTATTTAGGCCGTCTTATTTTGGCCCTCATATCCTGAAACATATGATACCCAAATTTTATCTTTTTCTTGAGAAGAAAAAATGGACAAAAGCCGGAAGCAAACAGATATTTCTATATTTGGTAAAGTTCATACAAGAAATGCAAACAGTTACGAATTCCCCCACACACCAAGACAGAGATAGGCTCGAGTGCCTCTCTACGTTTGAAATACACGACTCGTTTGCTCACGATGGATCAGAGTTTAACTAAAACAGGCAGAAAGCCGCTCGGATCAAGTTTGAGCGAGAGTGTCATATGGGTCACACTCAGAAGGAGTCACTGCAGTCCCGTGCTCCGTCCCGAGGAGAAAACCGGTTTTCTTGTCCGTATGTGGTCTTCCGAGCTTTTGCTGTAGATTATTTGTACTGAGGAATATGCACCGTTGGACGGAGTCGTTGGTTCAACGTAAGGTGTATTGTATCGCTTTTCGTGTCTAAATTGTACTCGAGGCTACATAGGACACACGACTCATAAATCAGCACAAGTTGACTGCAAGACAAGGTGACGGATTATCAAAAACGGCTATCCGCACTTACGAGACGGGTAATGAGTTTGACTTCCCAGCCATGAAGTTAATCACCTAGACTGGGAGTAATACAGGTCGCGATTTGGTTGAAGTCTGGGCCTCCGATGAAAATTCAGTGTATCGATTTATCGATCTGGTGTGGGCATGCAGAACCCTGTGCAGTTACCTCTGTACTGGCGTCACTAGTGCTTGATTGGTCTCTGCCCCTATATTTTCGACGTTGGCTTTATCGCTGACGATGGGCTCCAGTAAGGCTTGGAAAACTTTGACGAATAAAACCATAATTACGGCGAGCCAAATGCCTCCCCCTCCTCAATCTCTCTCTGCTTTTTCTTCTTTGCCAGTCTATTTTCGAGCCGTTATGTCATCCGTTACGTCACTTAGGCCAAGATAGCTGGCAGATCCAAAGAGCACTGCTACGGCTGAAAGTCATTCAAAATGCCAATATTTGCGAAATATTGATGAAGCGTAAAAGCCAGCATAAACTTTTATATGAAAACTTTGAAATAGTTATGAACGACCTTGGTTAGCGTAAAAAATATCAAAATCGCTAATTTTGTTTAACAAAACCAATTTCTAAGCTATCCCAAAGTCCCGCAAACGTGAAAAACTGCTGTAACTTAGACCAATAACTGCAAATATGACCAACGGATGAAATATTTACCATACAATTTCCTTTATATCAGCAGAACTTCTTTTTCGTCAAATTCCTTTGAACATATTTCGGGTATAAGCTTACAATTATCTTTGGACCGTCTGTTAAATTCCGGCATGTGTTCTACGATTTTAAGTATTTTGAATCTTCGTTCCAGTAATATAAATTATGTTTAACGTTTATATCAAAAACTTTAAGATGAGATATTTCTTTAATTCAGTTACCGTAAGCGTGACTTTTGGAAATTAGTTCTTATGAATACTCTCATGTGGGCGATATCGATAAAGTCCTAGAAATATGAAAACATACTGCCAAGCAAAAAGAACGTCCACAGTAGAACTCTGATACTGTTAAGCCTTAGATCCATCAAACAGTTTTCTCTAATAGATTCCTCCTTTAGAAATCACTGTTATTATGTATTTAGCTTACCAATATCTGGTACTTGTTCCAAAAGTAAAGTCTTAATACAGATGCAAAAGTCTGACCAGTTTTTAAAGTTATCTAAATAAACAGTATAATTTTGGCAGAAAATTAAGGGGTTACTTTTATCTTTAAACTGGACCGTTTTTACCATGCGGCAATAGTTTATGGCCCTGTTTTAAAGTTTTAAATACAGAAAAGGGAATAAGGGAATATTTATTATGATTCCGTGAAAACTGTTAATCTTCTGTCTGTTCCGTTTCCAAATCACCTATTAACTGAAACCATGTTGTGCAAAAAGTATCACGCCACATACTTTAGATTTGTACAACTTGTTTTTATTTTCATGTACATTATAAAGTTTATTAATCTTTGTCCGCAGTCCTAAATTTTCAAAGTTGTAAAATAACACCAAGGCCAAAACTTAGTTAACTGCATTTTGGGACAATAACGCAACACATTAGCGAAATAATTTAAACTGCGATTATTCCATGTTACAGGAAATCAATATGATCCCTTAAACTTGCCTCCACTTGATTATCATTAACGTAAGATTAAACTTTCTAATTCTACCTAGCATCCTTAAATAAACTGAATTAAACAGGCAGTTTTCCATGCTAAAATACTTCCTCAAAATATAAATCCATTCCACAGATCAAAATTATGAGACCACGTATCTGCTTGACTGCGAACTCTAATTTCAGTTATGCCTTTGCATGTGTTAGCCACCCTGCTGTATATGTCCGCATACCATCTGGCCCCCAGCATAACAAACTAGGTTTCATCCTAAATAATTAAGATAACAGTGACGTGAAATTGTTTTTTAAAATTCAACCAGGTGATGCGATCGCCGTCTTGAACCTGTCCAACAACAGCCTTCGGGAGGTTCCTGATGAGATATCCCGATTCTCCTCCCTTAAATCACTCGACCTGAGCAAGAACAATTTCGGCTCCGAAGATGAGCAAAATCGGGTTGGCTTTTTTGCAAGAAAACGAAGAACCAAGCTCAACAACGAACTACTGCCGAGCAGTCTAGTCAAACTCACCAGCCTTCAACAACTAAAGATGTCAAGTTGTGGACTCCGACAGATACCACCAGTTATTTTCCAGCTGGGTAATCTCCGTGTGCTAGATATTAGCAGAAACAGTATTGCTACCATTTCAGCTGAGGTATGCTAAATGGGCCGCAATATTAGTTTTTTTTATTTTAGTTAAGAGCTTGTGGATATTTTTATCTCTCATATGAAGTCGGTCACTGACATAACAGGATAAATCGATTAATGTATATATTTTCACATAAAGTAGATAGGCTGAATGTAAGAAAATAATTTAACGCAGGCAATGTCGATAAATCCAGATAATGTTGTATATTCCCATGGTTAACTTGAAAAGTTACCTTGACAGACATATATTGTCGGCAGTTAATCGTCGGGCCGGTACAGTTGCATAGATGAGTGCTAATAAGTGTCTTACTGTTAAAAGTCGTCGTTTTCACGTTGACCTTAAGTTCTATTCTCGCACACCTTGTCGATAAGAATCGCCATGTCGATACTAACGAAGCCTTTCAGGTTGTTTATCGGACACTAACCAACTTCTCCTAGGGCCTACGCCAACGAGTGTTAGCAAGAGCCAGAACATTGGACATACGGCTAGCGAATACACTGCTGCCTTGCCCGAAGACGCTAGTACAAGCATTATCGCTTCCATGGGCGACCCCGTCGCCAGGTAGCTATCGCATATCACTCCCACCCCCTAGTGACAGTTGTTCACTCTGTGCAAATGACAGTAGCTTTCAATCCGCGTACATGACCCTTCGCCAATGCTCACAGCTTGTCCTAATTTCCTCCTTCCCCCACGCAATGACCTCTACACACTGACCTCGCCATGCAAGCGGCGTGAAAACGATGAGTTGTGATCATAAGATACTTAATAACCCTGTCTAAGTGTATGATTTTTATTATCTATGCAGTTGTACTGCCCCAGCGGTGAACTGCTGAAAACATGCCTGTCAAGTAGAATTCTACTGATGGATATTTAGAACGGAAGAGGAGGGGCAATGGAGGTTGGGGGCAGAAAATCGCATGCAGCTAGTAGTTTGGCAGACGTGTGGCCATGGTAAATTGAGAGTCTGCACGAAGTTCTTCTGTGTCCTGTGCTGTGTAAAAAAATGGAAATTCACCTTCATTTCATTGTCAAGCGCGTATGTCTTAAAGAAATTATATAAACGGTTTGCCTATTTTACTCTAAAAGCTCAATGGGAAGAGCACCCGTTTGTTGTATAGATTCATGATGGCTTATGTTTCTTTATTTACGTTGCGAATATCGCTTGAGAATAACCTTATTTGCTTAATTTAAATTCCAATTCGAAATATGAATAAAATATGGCCGGGTCATTTTCAAAGTATTAATGTCTTCGCGAACTTCACCATTTTCAAATTTCAGAATATTCTTTAATGTTAAGTGGATTTCAGTCAATCAATCGTAAGGAAACGTAGAATTTTTGAAAATTGTTTTATATTCCTGTTCTTCAGCCTTCAGTAAACATTTGTGAACCCCTACCGTGAGTGCACTCTTTTATTCATCAGATTGGAAAGCTGAGTGAACTGCGTCGCCTGGATGCGTCACACACCTCACTACTGGAACTTCCTACGGAACTGTCAATGTGCACAAAAATGACACACATAAAAATTTTCGCAACCAAAATTTGCAAATTTTCGGATGACTACAGCAAATTTGATATGTTAAAGTTTTTCAATTTCAACTTTTCTGCGCTTCTGGCGCCGACTAGTGGAACCGGCAGTGAAACGGAGGCTTCAAGGCAACTTCCCATCCCATCGGAATTTCCTCCTGAAACCGATGTCCTTCCGAAGTTTATCTTTAAACTTCCGAACCTAAGGGTATGCTATAATTAGAAAATCCATCCAATTTTTTTATATTTAGAGGTTCTACAAGATGCGTTTTAGTCGTTTAGCTTTTGATGCACTCCAGAGAAATTAAGTATAGTTGGGTATTCTTTCAGTGAAAAGTATAAGGATACAAACACCGAATGAAGAGAAAATCAAGGACCTCTTATATGATAGGGCTCAGTTGTAGAATTACTAAAGCCGAAATGAATTCCTGGGTCTGAATGTATGACACAAAATATACGGTCTGAATCGCAGCCGTCGGCAATCAAAACGAATTAGCACATTATGATAAGAGAATGATTTACTAATCAAGGCTGCCATACTGAGCATCACAGCAGTGAACCCCAATATATTTATGTTCCAAGAAACGGCAGTTTTTCAACAGTCTCCCTTTTTCAAATAAGACTGTCGCATTCTCTATTTCAATTGTTTTGCATCGATCAAAACCTGATTGTCCTCTGCAGAAATGGCCAACAAAAATTTGCAATCTCATTGCACTTGAATTTTTAGTGGAATTATTTGTCTTCCCTGTCCCGTATTTTAAAAAACTGATCTTTTTGCCAGCAAGATTTCATTTATTTTACTATGCGCAATTTCTATCGACAAAACACAGCTATCGTGAAGAAGTCCACTCAGAGGAAGAATTTTGCAAAAGGCGGAAGACATTTTTTGTTAGACAGAACTGAATGGCCTTTCCCCACGAAAAACCCTGATGCGCCCACCAATTTTACTGGTTGTTAGTTGTAATTAAACATTTCTGGAACTTTAAATTGCATATATACCATGTGTCGGATGCGCATACAGTCCAACAATACCTGCGCTCATGTGAACGTAAGTGATGTCTTAGTTAAATGCAATAGAACAATTCACCAAACTAAAACCTGCTCAGTATACGAGGCAAAAAGACGCAATCATGGAGGTCCTCAAAGGACTGAATGGCACAGTTTCGATCGGAACGAGTAAACTCGACCACTGCCACAAAGCAGCAGATGCGGCAGGAATTTTGCATTGAAATTCGAAC